GGTGCTTTGTTTTTCTTTCTTAAAAAATATTTTAAAAAAAAATAAATTTTAATTAATTTTATAAACAATTTCATGAATTCCTTTAGATTGTCTGGAGTAAACAGGTTTTTTTTTTTTTTTTTTTTTTTTAAATAATAATAATTCGAGCTATTAATCTAAACTTGATCAATCACTGAGATTTAATCCCATTTTTTATCTGAGAGATTTGGTCGACTCAGATATAATGATTATATTTAGTTTGCGGATACCTTTTGGGACGGTATAAATGCGACGATACCACCTCAAACCGTCTACGTGGAGAAGTATTGTATCTGTCGTTCTTTGTTGAAGCACCTTCTTCACTTTGAGATTTTCGCAACTAATTTTCTGCAAAAACAATTTTGAAAAAAAGCACAGAAATAGAAAATAATCCATCTTCGTTTGGTATTGAAGAAAATGCAACATTAAGATTCAAGGCTAGGAGTATAATTATAGTAGTGCATACATACGAATTGGAATATATAGATTATTACAGAGAGAGAAAGGGAGCAGATGGGGCAGGCATTTCGTCGAGCAGCTGGAAGGATCGGAAGCTCCGGAATGGAAACTTCGTCGTCGCAGCTGAAGAAGCCCATTGAGAGACCGCCACCCCCGCCGCCGGAAATTATATCCGCCCAAAATGTCGGCACCGGAGCTGGTAAGTGCCAAAAACCAAATAGCTTTAATGAATTTAATGCTTTATCTTGACATTTGAATTTTCAAGATTCAATTTTGGTTAAGATTCTTCAAATATTAATTTCACATTAAAATGATTTCAATGCTGTATGTGACAATCGATTTAGCTGAAATTGAGTTGCAGATTCTTCTTCTTCTTCTTCTTCTTCTTCTTCTTCTTCATTCTCAGACTCATACTAAGAATCAATAAAGCATTGGAAATTAATGAAACATGTTTAAGATTAAACACTTTTCTGGTGTAAGAAAAGTTTCATAATCTTAAACGTGTTTCATTAATTTCCAATGCTTTATTGATTCTCAGTGTGAGTCTGCGAGAATGAAGAAGAAGAAGAAGAAAATTTTGATAACTTAAGCGAAAGGGGCAGTATATTGGAGCTCCTCACAGTAAGACTTACCAACAGAACAGACCTAATTGAGCACATCTGTCAATCTAAATATCTAATCCATTCTTTCCCTCATAAGCCTGTAACTGAAATCATCACTCACTTTGATCTCCCAGCTTGACTATGAGTGTTCCATGCTGCTACAATCATGTAGGAATAGGTACACTAGTCTCATTTGAGTTCAACTAATTTGTAGTTGACGAACTCCATCATTTACATGACTATGATATGTGTGTTAAATCCAAATGTAGATCCCATCTCATCCTGAACAAAAGAGCCAATCAATTCTGCCATTCTTAATTTCTTCTAGAATCCTGCATATGAGCAAGAAACATGAGTAATTTCTAGGAATAGACAGAACTTCTCTGATGTATTCGGTTGTTTCAAGTTTCACTTCTACTGCAAATTTTTTTTTGTTCAGTTAGACAAGAATGCTATTATAACCATACATGTGTAATTTCTTCTCTCATTTTAGAGAGCACTCCAAAAGTTAATCCCAAAAGTGTCCTTGAAGAACGTGATCCACAGTTTGATGTGATGCTTAGTCAAATGGTTGGTAGAATCCGTGCTAAGCCTGGAGGGAAACTTGAAATGGGTGAGGTGAGTTTATATATGTAATATAGTATAATTTGTGATTTGCCAATGTTGCTGGTGATTTTTGCTTTCTCTGGATATGTGCTGATATTGCTTTATTGAGTTTTGTCATGGTTTTTCTGGCACTTTGCAAATGATTCATTTGGATTTGATTCGTCACTTTGTCTATACTCATAAGTAGTTAGAGTAAAATGTGACGTAAACTAAATTCTTGGCAAATCTAAACTGAACCAAATAAATTGGGAATGTAAAAAATTCCTTTAATAGACTCCACTTACTTTGCAATTTTTATGTGGGGGGAATTTTATCTGATGATGGTAATGCATGCATCTGCCACCCAATTCCCTTCTTCTTCCTTCAAATCAGTTTAAGAAGCTAGAATCTCAAAGTTCACTAATAAATTCAATATATGCATTTTATGTAGTCATTGGGATAATGCAATGCTACCTATGTTGTGGCATCTCGGTTTCTTCTCCAAACACTTCCTGTACCACTGTCCTTAATACTGCTAATTGGACCCCTCTGTTTTTAGAACAGTGGCCCCAGCCCCCAAGTCAGTCCCCAACACCGTATCTTCAAACGCTTAACCATGCACTTTTGATCCTCGTGTTATTAGGAACCCTTTGTTAGGCATGGGCCTCTTTAGGTTCCATATATGCCTATGTTGTGGAGCATTGGCTCATCTACCATGCTTGTGTGAATGCCATAGCATCTTGGAACAGGACTTTGGTACTAGAAAAACATTTACTCTGTACTAAAGGTGTTTTGCAAATTGCAACAATTGAATCTCTTAGATGGCGCCAAGGACCTTGTGGTCCACTGGCACCAAGTTGTTCCCCTATGTGGGAGGTTGTGAGTTCGAGCCTTAGTGGAGGCAGACTATTGTGCTTCAGTAGGTTGAGAAAGTAATTATAAACAGATACTACATTGTAACAGAGTCAGTAGTACTCAAAAAAAAAAATAAATAAAAAATTCTCTTAGATGACAGTGTCAATTTGGTGTAGTTGGTCAGCAAAGATTTTGCATCTTACCATGAAACAAGTTGCACTCTGATTTCCTTACATGTACATTTACTGTCGGTCCAAAAGCCAGATTGGCCATGTTTATAAATTAGCTGGTGCTTAATGATACTTACTGTTATATCAACTTGGTCAATTTCTAATGTCAGGCTACCATGACAGGGATCGGTTGTGGAAAACTATGATAGGCCTTTACCAAAGCTAAGGAATACAACAACAGAGTCTAGCAGATACGAGGGAAGGCCGGCGCCTCCAGGAACCTTAAACGTAGCGCAGTTACGACAAATCATAGTGTTGTATCAAGGCAAATCAGATGAGCATGAAGGGCCTATGGATGTCAACCAAATAGCTAACAAGTTCCGAATCGACGTTTCTCAAGTCCAAAGCATCGTCCAGTTTGTGTCACTGCCTCCTGAGGACACCAAAGAGCAGAAGAAGTTCTGATTTAGTTTTTGCAAAATACTCTCATCACAATTTTGCAATCAGAGATCACATTGTTACTAATAATCACAAAGCTTTTAGTGTATGTGAACACTAACACTGTTTTGACTTTATATTAATGCAAATGAGTCTAGTGTTTGTGGATTATGTATTACTAGTAATACTCTCAGGTCTTGTAATCCAATCTTGATCCTTCCCCCCAGTTGATTCACCAAGAATGGTGAAAATGGCAAATATTTTTTTCACATTGCAAAGTGAATGTAATTGAAAAATGTGTTCCATTCGAACGCATAACATTTTACCAGTTCCGATATCAAATTAAACTAAATGATGTGTTTTACTTTAAATAAAAGTTTAAGTTAATAGTGAGGTTACAGATTTATTATTTTATATATTCTATGCTCAACAAATATTGATTATACGGTGATGATTGTTTATCACATTTTGATGTTTGTTGCAATCATTAATTTCTGCCACCACCAACAACGTGAGCCAAGTCTCATGATATATGAGTGATCATGGTTTAAACATGATTTGGTTTCAAATTCAAACCAACTATTCAAGTTAGAGGAAGATCTTAGGCACGAGCTTTAAGGTTATGATTCTAGTCTAAGTAAATCTTTTATATAAATGTAGTAAAAAGTTTTAAGGGTTAGCGTTTTCACGTTTTGAAAACGTTTTATTTTATAAATTTTTGAAAAACTCGATAAAACCTTTCAAGATAAACAATTAATATGTATACATGTTTAAAGAATATGCACTTTTATACTTCTCTTATATTTGTATGTTTTTTCGCGTTTTGTATTCTGCATTTTATATTTGTATATTTCTTTTGCGTTTTGTATTCTGTATTCTATATTTGTATGTTTCCATCGCGCTTTGTATACTCCTTATACTTCCATTTTTCCCATTTTGGTGCTACCTTGTTCCACAAGGCATAAAAAAAATAAAAATAAAAAATTGTATTCATTCTAATAAAGTACTAAGATTGTTTTATAATTAGAAAATTTAGAGGACCGTATTGTTTCATCTCTATAGAGAGATGAAGCCACTTCGTTGCGAGATAGCTAGATTGTTTTGTTTTTATTATTCTTTTTGGAGAAATGTTTTTTTTTTCTTTTATAGAGAAAATAGAAAAAAAAAAAATTGCTACTATAATTTTACAAAACCTAAAAGAGAAATGAGGATATCACGTCCTGCCAAAAGAAGAAAAAAGCATGATGTGGCGAAACAATTCCCGTACGTGTACTCCGTAATATTTCAACGGCATTACTTATAAAATATTAGATAATTAAAACGAAATGCCATGCCCCTAAAAGTGATTGTTTGTAAATAAAATTGAAGCTAAGCATGAGCTTCTGTTAAGAATAGTGACGTTTTGGTTTAACTAGAAAACTAACAGACACTCACACAATCAACATGAAAGCCCTCTCTTGCACATTACGTACAAAGATGTTCCCTTCAACTCGAAAAAATAAGCGTAGAACGTGAGTAAACACAATACAGATCCCAAATATATGGTGAAAGTGTTTGGTAAATAATTGTTAGCTGATTAAAATTAGTGAATTTGATTAGTTAATAACATTAACTAATTATAGAAAGATGTTTGGTAAATTAACTATTAATTGATAGCTGATTACATGCAAAATAACTTCCTCAAAAAACTAATCAAAAAAAGCTACATTGAACAGCTTTTTGAATTTTGGCATTTTGAAGCAATAAGTTGTTACAAAAAACTAATTAATCAAACACTCGTATTGACTGTTTAACCAAGTCAAATAGTTAATAATAATCAAATAAGCCAAAATTAGCTTATAAGCTAACTATGTTACCAAATAAGGCTGGTATGTATACAGCCTAGAAAGCTGATTCTGTATTATCTTCCTACAACTATAAATTTTGGTCCAATCGACAAGCAATCCCCCCCTCCTATTCTTCATTGGGGGCAGGCCATCAAGGATACAGAAACCAGAAAGAATGACAAAATTCATATCAAAATATAAACTGATCCCCCTGCCTTTCTGCAGATGGCAAATGGGGGGAATGTGAAAAAATTAAACAAGTTGAACTCATGTCAAAATCGTTTCTAACCAATCTGATGTAAATTCATAGGCAACAAATGTCACGGCACCCGCTGGTGCAGCTTTAACAATTGATGGAACTATGCCTTTGTAAAGCCCAGCCCATCCCTCCTGGATTAGAATGCGACGAAGAGCATCGTACATGTTTCTGTATGCGTGATGCTCAACTCGAGCTCCATATCTTGCATGCCTCTGTAGTCCTCCAATCTGCAATGATATTAAGATGTCCATGACATGGCAAATATAAAATGGATAAAGCTACAAGCTCCAAAATTTTTCATCAAAATTCTGACGGGACAATAAAACACTTTTTTTTTTTATTGATTATTGTGAATTAGCTAACCCCACCTTGTGTTAAAAAAAAAAAAAATCTATTTATTAATCAAATACGAATCATATATTGTCACATCAGATGGTGAAAATTTGGTCCATGTAAGTTGATCCATATAAACTTGAAAAGCGCAGTAAAAGCCTAAATGGTACTACGTATATTTTAGTTCTGACCATCTTTTGACCCATAGACTTGATAAAACTAGTGGTATACCAGTAACCAGTAACAACTTACCTGAAACCTCTTCTTCACTACATCAAGAGGATGACAAACAGCTTTTGCACATGTCCCAGATGCTAACCCACAAATAAAGAGCTGGAAGCTTGAAAGACCATCATCGCTGTAGCTTGTATTTGGTGACCTGCGATGGTTCCAAGCCTAGAAATTGCAGACAAACCAAATCAAGATGTAAATGTGTATCTTTTACTGTTCCACACAAATTCAGAGCAAAACGAGGATAAGAACTTACCATTGCCCAGCGCTTGAACGTATCATATGTTCCAAACTGTAGACCAGCGTAAGGAACAATCTCTACTAGAGTAGGACTCAATCCAGAATACAGACCTCGAATACCGCGAGTTTTAAGTATATCAACAAATGCAGCCCTCATGTTTGGGTAAATCTGAAAGTGGGCAACCCACCTCATTTGTTAAGAACATCATGTGAAGGTTTTGTACAACAAACTTCATTGAACTGGATGAATAGGTAAAATTGTTTTTCTTTTTTAATTATGGAAATAATAAAAGAAATATTACTTTGACTAATTAGAAAGATTCCTGCATCCTATTAATAAAATTAAAAGCGGTACCTTTGGCTCCCCTTGTGAAGCTAAAATGGTTCTTAGTAAGTCAAATGGATATGATCCAACAGTAGCTGCACAGCCTGCTAATGCCCCACTGATGTATGAAAGATATGGACTCAAATTAATGTGGTCATCTGAAATAATTGAAGATACCAACAGCACATATGCCGCACATCAGGCCAATGGAACAAAAGGAAATAATAGTACATATGTGAGTTGGGTGTTTTGCAGAAAAACTAAGTAAAAATTTTGCTGCCTCTACAATTAGAGAGGAGATAAGGATTACAACTAGAAACCTGATTTTGAAGATCCAGAAGCAAAGGTTTTGAATTTGTGCAACACTGTGAACTGTATGGCAGTATATGGCATGACCATAAGTAGGGCTGGAACATTACCACGCCAAAAACCCTGCAATGGAATTCCAAATTAAAGGAAATCTGACAAACATTTCATCATGTTTAAAGAGAACTTGGAATTCTGCCAGTGAAAAGATGACAAGACTCAAGAGAATAATAAGAATTTATAACGTTTTATTTGTTTAGACATTTCCCAAGTGTGATGGTGCTATGGCCTTGATTAGTTCACTGAACTATCAATAAGTCTAGAGTCCAAACAATTCAAAGCAGTCCAAAAGTCTATCAAAGTCACTAATTTATTACCTAAGAGTCTTATTTTTCTGATTTTTACAGCAATAAATAGGGGAATTCTATGTACATTCAAGGGAGACAAAAAAAAATGGCTAATTGATCCTTTCATTTCTCCATTGTAGCCTGATTTCCTAACAGTTTTATCTTTGCTTTTCAGCACTAGATTCTGAATCTTTTCAGATTTCTATCCAAGCAGCTGGACTTCCAATTCCTATCTGTAATCCCCTGTTCCTCTACTCTTAATGCTTGTTACCTTGAGTGCACCACAAGAGTGCCATCATGTCTCAGTGAGCATTGTTTGTCAGAATGTGTGCGGGGAGCGGGGAGAGAGAAGAGAAAAATGTGCAGTTTAATTTGCACAATAATAATACTTTTACTTATCATCACAAATCAATCACAAATGTTATAATACGCATGTTTAAACAGCTTTGTTGTGACTACTTTAATCATGAATTTTCAACATAAGATTATATCTGGGCATACAAAACATGGAATAGAAGCATAAACCATGCTTATTCATTAAAAACTGAATGCTAGTCTATCAATTACTGAAGTAGAAGGCACACCATTATTAGTTTAAATAGGCAGTTCTCTAAGAGGTAACCAAATAATTCCAGAACAATTTAAGTGGAGACTGGAAAAAACTGAAAAAGCACTAATACCGGCAAGCCTTCCTCTCTGAAGATGTCTTTGGCTGCTTGCACCATCCCAGTGTACTTAGATGATTGATATAAATCCTTCCGAAGCAGGGCCCACTGAACAGTAGGTTCCAATTGAACCTAACAAATAACTAATAAGATCATCAAATAGGTCCACTACCTTCAATTACAAGCACAATCAATCAATGATCAAGACATCCATACATAAAAAGAGAGAGCGACTAATAACACACCAAATGCAATACTTCATGCAACTTGGAAGCATCTTTTGCAACATTTCCGTTAGGATCAAGCACTTACCACTATGCCAAAAGCTATATAACTTTTGGTGTAGTGGAAAGCGCTTGATCCTAACAAGTGATATCAGAGCCAAGCTATGGGTTCGAGTTCCAACAAGAGCAGTTAGGACTGGCTGGTGCTGGGAGAGAATTGTTTAGCAGAAGCCATTAAGGCCAAGTCCAGCACCATGTGGATAGAGTGATTGTTGGACGGAAGCCGGTAAAAGGCCATATCTAGCACCGACTCTTCAAAATGTGTGGCGGTATAAGGAAATAAGTTTTGGCATAGTAGTAAACACTTGATCCTAACAATTACCTGAAATCTAATCTTAATTACATCGAGCGGCGAGGTCACAGTCCTTGATATACCACCAGAGATTGCCCCGGCCGTGGCATGAATGAATGCCCTTTTCAGCTCCCCTGGCTCTTCCATCTCCCCTATTACACTGCTACTACCTGCAACCGCATTTCAAAACCATCCTTTATGTCAAAGTTATCCTTAGTTGCCCCAACTGACTCCGAAAAGCCAGAACAATCACCGCCACTCAGATTACACTTCGTGCAACTATCCCCAGCAATACATATAAAATATATGCATATGCAATCAACTCTTAATTAGATAACGACTAAATGTTTAGTAAGGGAGCATTGATATTCGAATTACATATATAAATGCGAATACTAATCAATTCAGCTCCAAAAATACCGAATACAGAGATCGTAAGTAGAGGAGATGGTACCTGAGAGAGGACAATTGGGAGAGAAAGACGCAAGCCGCCATTAAGAATTCCAGATTTTCAATATAGCATACGGTTTTGCACGCGCGCGCGCGCGCGCGCGTGTGTTTGATGAGCTTGCGTGGCTAGGGTTCTCGACGGCGGGGGAGACGGGTTCGCCGCTCAAAGGCGGCGGCCGGAGGTAATAATAAGAGGGAGGACTGGAAGAGTTGGACAGTGGATTGGGAAAGTTGAAAGAGAAAAAGATATTATTGGTGGGTTTTGGGGTAATTTAGTATTAATTAAAGGGGCCGTTATAATTTGACCAGCCGGTTCACGTTTCTCGGCATGTTGTCTAAACACGGATCGAGTATTTTATATCAAACAGGAAAAAATTACACTTTTGGTCCTATGACTATAGTGGAGGTGGTAATTTCAGTTCGTGACTTTTAAACCTAACAGATTTAGTCCTTTTAGTAAGCTTTTTTTTACCCATTGAGTTCTTCCGACTAATTTGTCGGTAGCGCCGGAATGTCAATTGGATTTGTTTATTATTATTTTTTTTTTTTGGGTGGGGGGGGAGGGGGGGGGGGGGGGGGGAGAGAGTAAAATCGTCCGTTCAGGTCATAGAAAAGGGGGGGGGGGGGGGGGGGAACGGATTCCCATTTCCCACCTTAATCAACCTCCACGCAACCCTAATTTTGTTTGAAAGTAGCGGGAAGACAGCAGAGAAGCGCAAAGACAGTGTGGAAGAAGGAAGAAAGCGGGAACAAAGAGAACTCTTCACTTCGCCTACTGCAATGCGTAAATCATTGGCGACTGGAACGGATTCTGCCCCAAATACGCTCCAACGAAGTAAGTTTGAATAATTTGTAACTGTTTGAATTGTATGAATTTTATAGTGAATGAGTTTGTGTTGTTTGTGTGGAGTGTTTTTTTGTGGAGTTTGAATGGAAGTTAAGCATTTCTAGGGTTTGCCGTGTGGGTTATATATGCATAAAGCATAATGGAGTTTGTACTTGTGTCTTGTGTCTTGTAATGTGGGGACCATTTTCTGTAGTGGCATGTTGTTTATTATTGTTAGTATGAATTCTGATGAGTATGGGAAATTGTTGTAGTGGTCTGTGGGGACCAATACTATTGTTGTAGTTACTGATTCTTGTCATGTGCATATATAGGGTTTAGGAAACATTGTTGTTATTCTGTGGGGACCATTATGTTTAAATTTTTTGTGGTCATGAATCATTTTCATATGATTATTGTTTTTATGTCTTGTGGGTACCACTCTGTTGACTGTTGGCTTTACAAGAGATGGTGTTGGCCCATTTGAAGTTGTCCTTTTCCATAATGGGATAGTAAATAGGGTGGTGAAGTTAAATACTTGGGTGGTGATGTAAAACTGTATGAAAGAATGGAAGCTAATGAAGTGTGTCTAGATGTGTTGAAGGATAAGATAAAACAGTTAGGGTATAGTGAGGTTGGTGCCCTGATTTATTGTTATTGGAATGATAGTTTGAAGTTGCTACAATCAGACAATGATCTTATACCTATATTGAATGAGGTCAACCCAAGTAAAATGTTGGAGTTTTGGGTTGAAACAATGGATGACCAGGACTTGATTGAAGCTGATATGGAAGTACTGGAGCCAGAAAGTGATTGAGAAGATGAGATTGAGATACAGAGATTGGGGGTAGATGAGCAGGTTGATGTAGGGGCTGGGGATGATGGCCAAGTTGTTGATTTCACTGTAGAGGATGATAAAGTAGATGAGCAGGTTGTTGTAGCTCAAACAAAGAAAAAGGTTAAGAATTTGGATGACATCTTCTTTTCTGATGAGGAGTCAGTAGTGGATTCTGATAGTGATGGTGATGGGGAAAGCAAATTGCCCATATTTAGAGCTGCAACAGACATGAAAGACCCCCATTTCACTTTAGGCATGACATTTGCTTCAAAACAACAGTTTAGGGAAGCAGTTCAAAATTATGCTTTCAATAATGGCAAAGAAATTAGAACTCTAAAAAATGACAAGGAAAGGGTCATTGTTAAGTGTACACAGGAGGGTTGCCCTTGGAGAATAGGGTTGAGGAAAGTAATAGGGTCATTTGCATGGAGGATTTTGAACATGGTAGATGAACATGAAGGTTGTTCTTGGGTTTGGGAGAACTCAATGGTGAAATCAAGTGTGGTTGCTAAGAGGTGGGCAACTCAATTAAAAGATCACCCAGATTGGATGATGAGAAAGTTCAAAGATAAGGTTTGCACAGAGGAGGGATTTTATGTGAGTGATTCACAAGCATATAGGGCTATTTGGAAGGCAAAGAAGATAAGAGTAGGTGATGAGGAAGCCAACTTCAAAAAGATTTGGAGTTATAGAGAAGAAGTCATGATAACAAATCCCGGGTCATCATGTCTTGTTAAGTTGAGTGACTTAAAAGATGGAAGTGGGCAGGAAAGATTTCTGACACTACAAGAAAAATGCACATAGACAACACTAGAAAGACAACAGTTTTTAACAAAAGCGTTGTCTTTTGTATAAAAGACAACAGTTTGGTCCAAAACCGTTGTCTTTGATGCAACACTTTTGTCAAAGACAACGGTTTTTACTTAACCGTTGTTGTAAGTGTGTTGTCTTTGTGCATTTTGTGAAAAGACAACACCACAAAGACAACGGTTTTTTAAAACCGTTGTCTATGTGCGTTTTTTTTTTTTAAAAAGACAACGGTTTTTTAACCGTTGTCGTTGGTGTGTTGTCTTTAAGCGCACTGGAATACACAACACTAGAAAGACAACGGTTGTTTAAAACCGTTGTCTTTGTGCGTTCTTTTTTTTTTAAAAGACAACGGTTTTATTTAACCGTTGTCGTTGGTGTGTTGTTTTTAAGCGCACTCGAATACACAACACTACAAAGACAACGGTTTTTAAAAACTGTTGTGTTTGCATACTCTTTTTTATTTAAAGGACAACGGTTTTTTTACCGTTGTCGTTGGTGTGTTGTCTTTAAGCGCACTAGAATACACAACACTACAAATACAACGGTTTTTTAAAACCGTTGTCTTTGCGCATTATTGTTTTTTTAAAAGACAACGATTTTGTTTAACCGTTGTCATTTATGTGTTGTCTTTAAAACACAAAACTACAACGACATCGGTTTTATATAAATGTTATCGTTGCGCGTTCTTTATTTGTTTAAGACAACGGTTTTATTTAACCGTTGTCTTTGGTATGTTGTCTTTAAGCGTATTTGAATACACAACACTACAAAGAAAATGGTTTTTTTATAACTGTTGACTTTGCGCATCATTATTTTATAAAAGATAACAGTTGTATAAAATATAAACAACGATGTTAACAACAAGAGTTAAACTTACGACCTTAAACATAGCAAATAAGGTCTAACCAACTAAGCAACACAACCTCTTATTTATAAAAATGCAACATCTGGTATATAACTGAGTTTATAAAATAGGTTAAGGATGCCCATATGAAGAATAGAACCTAAGACCTCTAACATAAAAAACAAAGCTAAACCCACAAAGCCACACCAACACTTATGTACTTAAGCACAACATCTAGGATATAACCAATTTGCTTATTTGTTCTCTCTGAGAACCAAGACAATGATTGTATAAAATAAGTTAAAGATGCCACTAGAAAGTATAGAACCCAAGACCTCTAACATAACAAACAAAGCTAAACCCACCAAACCACACCAACCCTTGTTTATTAAAGTGTTACACCTTATCATTTACCTATAATTTTGGGCTGGCAGCTTTGAACTCCGGACTCTTTAACAAAGAAATAATACAATTCAAAAGTTAATTTAATAGTTCTATTTTCATTCATATTTAAATATAAAACTATTCACCAAAATTTCAATTTCAATTCATTAAAGTTTTATTTTCATTTACAATTAAAACCAATATATGAATTAAAAAAAAAAACAAATAATAATTATCAAGTATAAAAATAAAATAATAGAATATATTTAGAATATTTTTTTAAAAAAAAATTGGGGCCCTGTGCGGTCGCGCCGGTCCGACATGGCCTAGAACGGCCCCGGCGGTGCGGTGTGGTGTTTTGAATGGTGCGGTATGGTGTTATACCTCAGGCTTTATATGTACTATTTTAGACCTAGCACCCTGGGTAATAAAGCTACTATTTCGTACCAATGTTCAATTCTATAACTATATGTCCGGTACTATCTTGGGCCTAGCGCACCCCTCATTCTGTACCTATATATCCGGTACTATTTTGGGCCTAGTGCCCGGATAATAAAGCTACTATTTTCTAACCTCCCCGCTATATACCCGATTTATGGTGGACTCGATCTCTATAAAACCATGAATATACTTATTTAATTTGCTATTATAACTATATATATATATATACTTTTATTTTATATATAAACAACAACAGTTAAAAAATAACCACCCGTGGTCCTAATTCTTTAAAAAAAAAAACCCAAGTTTAAAATGACCACGAGACATTTTAAAAGGACCGCTGATAGTTATTTTTTAGAACATGGAAGACCATTGACGGTCATTTAAAACTCAAATGATATATATATATATATATATATATATATATATATATATATATATATATATATATATATATATATATATATATATATATATATATATATATACATACATACTTGCATTCAAATGAGGACAAGTACATTATAGAGGACTGTGAGGACAGATGTAGTGTGTGTCATTAGACTGTATGTCTTGTGCATGGCTGAATGTAGTCGTGTGCCGCAGTTTGTATGTCGTGTGCATACATTTGTTAATTAATAGAGTATTAAATTGTGTGCCTAATATTAATTTGTTGTGTGCCCGTTATTTATCCCGCACAATCCTCTATATATTGTTGTCCTCATTTGAACTCAACTATATATATATATATATATATATATATATATATATATATATATATATATATATATATATATATATATATATATATATATATATATATATATATATATATATATATAATTTTATTTTTTAATTTTATATGATATACTACATTGATTAAATAAAACTGAAATATAATTTATTATATAACATCATTTTATTATTAGAATTGATCTTATAACTTCAATTATAAAAATTAAAATTTTAAAAATTAAAAAAATCCCTCCAAACCTAAATCCAAAACCCTCCAATTTTTTTTTTTTCATACACTTAACAGGGTGTTTGGTTGGAGGGATTTTAAATTCCCTTCCCACTTAATTCCCACATAATTCCAAAGACCATTAAATTCCGTAGTTTGGTTGGAGGGAATTGCAATTCCATGGAATTGCAATTCCCCCATTTTCATGGAATTAAAATCCCAGGTCCCCCCCTGGTATTTTAATTCCTGGGAAAAAAAGATAGTGATGAGTCAAAATTACCCCTTCCTTTTTTAACCTAAAATTAATGTCTAACAACAATAATGGACATTTTTGACTTTATACTACTTATTCCCTTTCAATTCCCATGTATACCAAACATTGGAATTGAAATTCCCAGTAATTTTATTCCTGTCAACCAAACACTGGAATTTAAGTTCCCACTTTATTCCCAGTAATTCAACTCCCATGGAATTACAATTCTTTTCCCACATAATTCCCTCCCTCCAACCAAACGCCCTGTAAATATTTTACAAATTCCCTCCAAACCTAAACCCTGTACACTTAGAATATTTTACAATTTTCCCCCAAACCTAAATCCAAACCCTTGTTTTCATCGATCACCACTGCACCTCCATCGCCATCATCCGTCGTTGCTGTCAGCCGCATATGATTCAGGCACCGGCACGGAGACGCTCTGAGACGGAGACGGAGACAGAGACAGAGACGCCACCAACCACGAAGTAGCAGAAAGATTTATAGGCACATCAGCTTATCCGAATTCTAGATCAATCCTATCGATTTTGGTACTTTAACGCTGAATTTGATTATTCCAGCTTCAGTTATGCGATTTTTGCATTTTCCTTGTATTTTTGGGGTTAATTTTAGCAATGCGATTTTTCTGCCTGGTATGTGTTATTGAGAAATGGTGTTGTTCAATGTGAGACTTTATGTCTCACAGCTTTTAGGTAAATTTCCCATATATATATTTTTAAAATCCGTCAAGATCCGTCTCATGACTTCATTGCTATAGGTTTTATGTGAGGAATCATTCCAATTTGTGTTTGCATTATCAACATCAAAGAACAGAGCAAACACAGGAAATTGGCATTTACATTTCATTTATAGAGAACACAAAGTTCATTTGTAATGAGAAATTAAAACACAATTGTTTGAGAACAAGGAGTACTTTGACATCTATATTTGTTCAGAACAATTTTTTAGAGAAACAGTTTGGCCTAAACCATTAATAAATACTTAATATTTCTGTTTAGTGAAGTATTATCTTAACCATAAACTATGGAGATCTTGGATTAAACAAGCTTTATTTGGGTTCACACACTAATTAATTCCTTAGATGTCTTTTGTGTATAAGAAACAAAAATTGGGCAGATATAAACAGTGTCTTTTTTTGCCCCAGATTTTTTTGTGGTAGACTTCTCACTTTACCTATTTGCTATGGCAGATGTTCGATCTTGTACTATGGATATTGCATCTTTACTGTTGCTGCAGGTACATGACTTTATATTTGGGTTTTTAATTTTAATTAATTAATTTTTCAGAACAAATGCAATGTCGACTACGCATTTATCAATATGACTGATCCTTCATTCATGGTTCCATTTTATCATGTAAGCTTCCCTCTTTCCCTCAGTAAATAATTGATACTGTATTAGTATTTCTCTATGTATCATGTTGCTATGTCTATGTTTAATAGAGAGTTGATCTGACAGGCTTTTAATGGCAAGAAATGGGAAAAGTTCAACAGTGAAAAGGTGGCATCACTTGCATATGTTCGCATCCAGGGAAAAGCTGCCCTTATTGCTCACTTCCAGAATTCTAGCTTGATGAATGAAGATAAGCTGTAGTATGCTGAATTGTAGTATGCTATTGGGCTTCATGGCTTACTACTCTATAACCCCATATCAAAAAATATGTAAGCCAATCACAATTGCATTACTATCATACTATGTCTAAATCTGTGTAGTTCATAATGTATTTAAAAATTACTTTGCCTTTGCTTTAAAAATCCATAATTTTGTCTCCAAATTTTGAAAGCTTATAATACTTCACCTCTTTTTAGTTTATTGTATACTGAGAGTATATGTATGTTTGTGAAGCAACGAACCTTGCTGCGTGCATTGCCTTAGATCACTTTACTGGCTCCAAGCTAACTGTCCCCCACCAACAGATGAAAGTAAAATAACAAAGTAAATGAAAGAAAAATAACAAAGTAATTTTGCCTTGAGTGGAGGTCTGCTACTGACTTTGGGTTGATCTTTTGTTGGAAATGATGCCTGAGATATGGAAATAAAGCCCCATGGAGCTGAGGTCTGAACAGAACTGGTGAAGTGGTGAGCAGAGATGAAATCTGAGTTAATTGAGGGAAGCTGATCTAGGATTGGCTCCAATGGAGGAATAAGGAGGTCCACTAAAGTTTGGTGGACTCTTTGGCCTGTCTGGGGTTTTATGGTTGGAAGAGAGATATTTTGGAGGGGTGTTGGAGGTATAAAGAGGGTGGAAACTGAGATGATAAAGCCCTTGGAAGGCAACTGTGCAGGTCTGATCTGCTGAATTGCAGCTGGTTTGAGCTGTTGAAATAAAATTTCCTGGTAGTAGCTGCAATCCAAAGCTCTATGGAGTGGAGGATGTGGTTGCCATGAAGTTGCTTTGATGATAGCACCTTTATAAGCATCAACAAGTTCTCTCATTCTCAATGTTCACTTCTTTCTGTATATGTCTGTGACTTATACTCTAGAAATCTAGATTGATATTTCACATTATATCTCTATTTTGCCTCTTATGTGTGGATTAGCACTTATTATATTCTTTTGCATTTCACAGATAAAACAGAGCTACAATGTGTTCCTAGTAGCTTTGACTCTGTGGAAGAGTATGTTTTTGCATAGGCTGCTTGTGGACTGAACATTAAATTACCGAAGGAAAAGATTGAAGATATTGATGCCGGAGATGTGTACAATGAGTTGGCAGTTGTGGGGTATGCAAAAAACATTTAAAAGTTCTACAAGGAAGCTGAGGTAAACCACCTTTTGTCATTTATACTCTTTGATTAATGAATTTTAGCTTCTTGCATATATATATATATATATATATATATATATATATATATATATATATATTATTTTTTTAATAAAATAAAAGACTTTTCGAGACACCTACAATGGAGCAGGTGTCTTAGATAATATTTAATAATAAAATATATATACCTCTATATATACCTCTATATATGAAACTACCTCTAGATTCGTATTGTTTACTAGGAAACAATAAGAGGAGGTTCTGTTGTAAATTAGGTAGCTATATATAAATGCCTTTCTATTCATGTGTTCCTATATATACAAATTAAAGTGTGCTTAATCTTTGTGGTTTGGTGTTAAGTGCCAAAATCCTGTCTCCCAAAATCCTTATATACAAATTAAAGTGTGCTTGTGGTTTGGTATTGATATTCTTGGTTGTAGTGGCATTATATAGAGGATGCAATGTGTTTTGTTTTGCTTGGGCCTTGAGGAAGAGAAAACTAGAAAGTAGGCAAAGCATGACTGGTAGATTGATAAATGCCATCCATCCCACATGGTAGTTGCCAATTGGGAGCATTTGTATTCATATTAGGAAAGTATTGCCAATGCATTGATTTTACTCTACTTGAATAGACTCTAGTATGCCATTTTAGTGTTTCCTGTCTAGCAAGTTGCCATTTTAGTGTTTCCTTTCTAGCTTTTCTGTACTATAACCTTCCAGATTGGAGAGCTTTCTGAATTATTCCTAACTTATTTTGCATTTCATTGCAAATTATTTATACCTATACTAATTTATTTTCTTACTTTTTACATGTAGTTTCAACAAGTTGATTATGACAAAGCGGTTATTCATCTGGTGCGTTCTGAATGGGCCGATATTCTATCAAGTCATATAGAGTAGGTATGATTTGGACATTAGAACGTTGTGATCATTTGGACTTGAATTGGTTCGTGGAATTGTTTTTTGTGTAGTAGTATTATGACTTGGATGATAATTAGAATTGGTCATGGAAGTCTTTTGACTTGTTATTTTGAACCTTATTAGCTTGTGCACAATTATGTAACTACACTTTGCAACATATGGTGAATGGATAAATTTTTTTTATATGATTATAATTTAAGCAGGTGAAAAACGGTTAAAAACCGTTGTCTATTTTACAATAGACAACAGTTAGAAACCGTTGACTTTTCTACAAAAGACAACAGTTTATGGGTGTGACAAAAGCGATTTCAACAACACACAATAGACAATAGTTTATAACTGTTGTCTTTTAAAGAAAAGACAACAGTTAAAAACCGTTGTCTATGTACGTGACTTTTAACAACACTGGTTTCAACAACGCTTAATAGACAACGGTTAAAAAATCGTTGTCGTTGGTAGAAAAGACAACGGTTAATAACCGTTGTCTATGTGAGTGACTTTTAACAACACCGGTTTCAACAACACTTAATAGACAACGGTTAAAAAACCGTTATTGTTGGTAGAAAAGACAACGGTTAATAACCGTTGTCTATGTGCGTGACTTTTAACAACACCGGTTTCAACAACACTTAATAGACAACGGTTAAAAAACCGTTGTCGTTGGTAGAAAAGACAACGGTTAATAACCGTTGTCTATGTGCGTGACTTTTAACAACACCGGTTTCAACAACACTTAATAGACAACGGTTAAAAAACTGTTGTCGTTTATAGAAAAGACAACGGTTAATAACCGTTGTCTATGTGCGTGACTTTTAACAACACCGGTTTCAACAACACTTAATAGACAACGGTTAAAAAACCGTTGTCGTTTCTAGAAAAGACAACGGTTATTAACCGTTGTCTATGTGCGTGACTTACAACAACACCGGTTTCAACAACACTTAATAGACAACGGTCAAAAAAACCGTTGTTGTTTCTAGAAAAGACAACGGTTAAAAAACCGTTGTCTATGCGCGGGACTTACAACAACACCGGCTTCAACAACAGAAATTATACCCCTACGACAACGGTTATTAACCGTTGTCTATGTGCATTTTTCTTGTAGTGTGAGAATGTATGTTTGTTGGAAAAGCAGCAAGGAAGGCTTCAGGAGATGTAGAAGACTGATTGGGGTAGATGGTTGTCACCTTAAATCTGAAACTGGAGGGATGCTTCTGACTGCTGTGAGTATAGATGCAAATGACTCTATATTTCCATTAGCTTATGCTATTGTGGAAGGGGAGAAAAAGGAATCTTGGATATGGTTTCTAAGGCTGTTGAAAGATGATATGCAGATAAGTGATACAGAGGAGGATGAGTACCGCTTCATAAGTGACAAACAGAAGGGTCTAATTCCAGCCTTTGATGAAGTGCTACCTGGTGTGGAAAACAAATTTTGTGTGAGACCTACATGCAAATATGAAGGTGGCAAGTTTCCAGGGTAAGGCTATTAAGGATGCATTATGGACTTGTGCTAGGGCAAACACTGTAAATGCTTACACTGATGCTTTGTATAAACTAATGAGATTAGATGAAGCTGCATACCAATGGTTAGGTGATAAAAGCCCAACAGAATGGTCTAGATCCCACTTCTCTACAAAATCCCATTGCGACATGTTAGTGAATAACATTTGTGAGTCTTGGAATGCCTCTATAATGGAAGCAAGGGACAAGCCTATCATTGAGTGCCTAGAAATTATAAGGAAAATGATTATGGCTAAGTTGTTTGAGAATAGACAGAAAACTGCAGAATGGAAGTCCTTGATATGTCCTAAGATTGTCAGGAAGTTGAAGCAAATAGAGAAGGCTGCATCTGGTTACTTAGCAACACAATGTGATTTCTTCAAGTTTGAGGTTAGACACTTATATGGGGATCAACAACAAGTTGACCTTGAAAGAAAACAATGTTCTTGTAGGAGGTGGGAGTTGACAGGCATTCCATGCAAGCATGCAATATGTGCTATATGGAAAAAATTTGGGAAAGGTGGAGTGTTTGACTTTGTCCATCCATGCTACTCAAAAGAAACATATCTGAAGACATACAGTGCAAGTATCAACCCAATGGCAGGTCCTGCTGAGTGGCCTAGGTGTGATAGACCACCCCCATTGCCACCCTTGTATTCTGCCAAGGTGATTGCTTGATTGCTGACCCTTATCCTTTAACTCTCTGCTGTATCAAAACTGATTTCATTTGTTGGTGCTTTTCAGGTTGGGAGGCCCAAAAAAGTTAAGGACAAGATCAGCTGCTGAGTTGACCCAAGATGGAAATAGAGTGTCAAGTAACCACATTTAACTGCACTGTTCTGTATGTAGGGAAGCTGGACATAATGCTAGGAAGTGTCCATCTAATCCAAATAAAAAGGTGTAGTATTATATTCTGTTGGATTACAGTAAACTGTGTATAAAACAATTGTAACCTAAACTCTATGTTTTACAGTTGAAGCCAAAGAAGAGGGTCATCTATGCCACTCACCAAATCCCCATCAATATGCCTACAAGAGAGCACCAGAGTGGATTAGGACAGCAGATGCATGTACAAGGGGAACATAGTGGCTTAGGGCAGCAGCAGGATCATGATCAACATGGCTAAGGGGAACACAGTGGATTAGGGCAGCATGAGGTTGATGCCCAGCATGGACAAGGGGAACAGAGTGGATCAGGAGAACCTCAGATGAACCAACAGCCAGCCAAATCCAAGAAGGGAACCAAAGTGAAGCAATCAAACAGGAAAAAGCCATACTATACAAGGAGCAAGACTGTGTTGAAGTCCAAGTTCTTTGGCAACCATGATGACCCAATTGACATTAAGTGAATGCATGTGAAGTTAGTTTGTATGTATGTTTTGATGAAGTTAGTTTGTATGTATGTTTTGGTAACTGATTTGGCTGCTAAATGATTACAAACTGTTTTGGACATAACAGCTCTGTTGAAAGCAGCTTGTTTTGGTCATAATGTATGATAACTATGAGATTATGGTTATGCAGTGTTTTGGTCATAATGTTATGCTCTAACTGTTAAATCATGGGCTTGTGCAGTGTTGCTAAAAGAGTCACACATTGCTGAATTGTAAACCAAAACAAACCATCATCCTTACATTAACAAAAGAAACCATCATCCTTACATTAACAAAACCAACCATAATTCTTACATTAAGTAACCAAACCATAAATCTTACATTAACACAACATACCATACATCTTACATTACCATGATCCTTACATCACCAACCATTCCACAATTCTAAAATTACCAAAACACATTACAAATACTGAACACTTCTTTGGATCAGTTCACTAGCAAAACCTACAACCACTAATTAGTGCAACTATTACAACAAAAACTGCTACAAACTTGTTCATCCACTTAGAACTACCAACCACTTTGCCATCATCTTTATTACCTTTAAGCTTCATATTAAATTTCTGTATTTCTTCATCTTGTCGGTTGATGCGTCTTAGCAATCTCGGAATTATTCTCTTTGAACGATAGCACATTGGAGGATCATACCAATCAATAAATCCACATCCCACATTACCCTGGATTAATTCAAAGAACATTTATTCAATTTCATTCATACATCCGGTACAAAAATTACAAAAACCTGTAAAAACAAAAACTTACAATAGCACCGGAGCATTGCCAAAATCTACGACCGGGATTTTCATTTGTCCATGAAGTTCGAATTTTCAATTGTTCACCACATCTACAATGGATAATTGGAAACCTTTCCCCAAATTCATAGTACTCAGTAGCAGAATTAGAAGAACAAGAAGAATATGAATTAGCCATACCCAGGACGACCTGATGGAGAATGGAGTGTGCGAGTGGTGCGACTGATTTCTTCTCTTCTACTTCGTCTCTTGCTTCCTTTGTTTCTCCCAGATATCCTAAAACCCTTCTGCGTGGAGGTTAATTAAGGTGGGAAATGGGAAGTCGTTTTTCCTCATTTTCTATGGCCTGAACGGACGATTTTACCCTCCCAAAAAATTAATAAACAACTCCAATCGAAATTCCGGCGGATTTCTACCGGCAAATTAGCCGGAAGGAC